CGCCCTCGCCCTCGCCCTCGCCCTCGCCCTCGCCCTCGCCCTCGTCCTCGTTCTCGCCGTTGTCCTCGTCCTCGTGCTCCTTCTCATCCTCGTCCTCATCCTCGTCCTCGTCTTCCCCCCTCCCCGCCACAGCCATTTTGGCTCACGCCTGCTCTGGAGGGAGGCGTCGGGCTGCCGCGGGGTGCGCCGCCCTTTCGCCTCTCCTCCTCTCCCTCGTCCGCCTCCTTGCGCTCATCCTGCCCCCGTCTCCCAGCTATGCTGCCCGCTTGCGAGCCCAACCCCTGTGGGTCCCATCGGCGCGGCGCTGTGGTATCGGACCGCCCCCCACCCGTGGGGGTTCACATGGCTGCGGTTACAGTCGGGCTGCTGAGATAAGGAACATTGAATAAAGGACTCTGTTGACACCACAAGAGCCTGGGTGCACGAGGAGGGCTAGAGGAACAAGCACGGAACTACCTGAGAAGTAGCTAGCCCCTCCGAACCCCGAGCGGCCTTTCTTTTTCAGCGTGTTGGGTTGGCTGTACCCTGCAGGCTCCCACCCCGCGCCAGTGCCTCGGAAGCCCGACCCCGCATCGGGCGACGAAATCCATACGCATCCACTGCTACCGGGCCAGGCCCATCCTGAACCCAGGAGCCTGCACACGCCCCCCTGGCCAGGCCAGGAGGGCGTGGCGTATACACCGAGGCCGGGTTCAGGATGTTCGGGGGTGGGCTCCCACGCTGGCACGTCGATTCGTGAATGGTCCGTCTTCGGTTCTCGAGAGGGCGCCGCGGCCGTCATTTTCCAGGCTTGCGCCCGCCAGGTTTGGGCCTGAGGTCGTGATACACTAAACCGCGTTTTACGAGAGGGGGCTCTGTCCAGCCCCGAGATGTGCCTGGCCAGAGAGCAGTGGATGTGCAGAGACGTCGTCGCCCCTCCGCAGGGGGCCAGGATCCACGCCGTGGTCGCAGGTCGCCGGCGGCCGCGGGGGCGCCGCAGAGAGGGCGACTCGTGCACGAGAGCGGGCGGGGGGGGCAGCAGAGGCGTCCTCCTCCTCCTCCTCCTCCTCTTCCCCTCCTCCTCCTCCTCTTCCCCTCCTCCTCCTCCTCTTCCCCTCCTCCTCCTCCTCCTCCTGTTTCTCCTCCTTGGTTGATGCCGAAGGCGCTGGGGGCGTTTGGGTGGCGTTTCAACGCGGCGGCTCTCGGCCGAGCAGAGCGGGAGGACAGAAGCCGCAGCCCCAGAACTGAAGAGCGGCGGCAGTACAAGACGGAACCGAACCGAGAGCGGCGCGGGCAGGAACCCCCGGGCGGGGACGACAGACACGGACCTCCACCCCAAACGGAGCGAAAAGAAACACCGCTCCGGAGAGCGGACGCGCTGAAGAAACGCTCCCCCCCCCCCTCCATGCGTTCTTCACATTTCGGTGTAGCGAGTCATGGTGGAACACAGAATGCCCTCTTGGCTCCGTTTTTTGCCCCGACTCGCGCCGAATGAGCGTCTGGGGGTCGATGGGATGGCGCCGATGCAGCGCCGACGCAGCGTCTATCCGCGCCGACTCGCCAACGCCGACAGGGACGGTACGGAGGAGGAGGAGGAGGAGGAGGAGGAGGAGGAGGAAGAGGAGGAGGAGGAGGAGGAGGAGGAGGAGGAGGATGAGGAGGAGGAGGAGGAGGAGGAGGGGGAGGAGGACAAGCTAGGTGCGCTCGCGTCATATCTGACATCCTACCCCTCCCTCCCATCCCTTACCATGGCGTAGATCCCCTCTCTACTCGCACAGTCGGATGTCGAGCAGGGCAATGATCCCGAAAGGGTACGCGATGCATTGTAGAGCACGGCATGGCATGGCGTAGAAGAGCACCGCAAAGAGTAGTATGTCACAGCATGGCGTGGCGTGGCGTAGTGAAGAATTGCATCACAAAGCTTTGCAACGCAAAGTATGGCATCGCACAGCGGCCCCGAACATAACATTGCATAGCATGGCGTTGAAGATCAAAGCGTAGCATGGCATAGCACGACGTGGCACTTAAGCACTGCATATCACAGCTTCAGCTGAAGGCATGGCATCGCGCAGCGGAACGCAACCTAGCATTGCATTGCATGCCGTGGCATGGCACGGGAAATGACGCCAGCGCTGCAGCGGGAGCACGATTCGGAACGAGCGGAAGCGCGGAAATGAGGCCAGCGCTGCAGCGGGAGCACGATTCGGAACGAGCGGAAGCACGGAAATGAGGCCAGCGCTGCAGCGGGAGCACGATTCGGAACGAGCGGGGCCCGAAAATGAGGCCGGCGCCTCGGCGAGAGCAGCATTTTGAAAAAAATGCAGGCGAAAATCCATTTCCGGGGAATCCTGTGTGTAAAAAAACAGTACGCGGGGGGGGGAGCGAACACTCCCAACCCGTCATCAGGGGAATGAGGAGAGTAGTATTCATATTGAGTAATTGTAGGAGGACGTAGGAGGAGGAGGAGGAGGAGGAGGAGGAGGAGGAGGAGGAGGAGGGAGGAGGAGGAGGAGGAGAGGAGGAGGAGGAGGAGGGAGGAGGACGAGGAGGGAGGAGGAGGAGAGGAGGAGGAGGAGGAGGAGGAGGAGGGAGGAGGAGGAGGAGGAGGAGGAGGAGGAGGAGCAGGAGGAGGAGGAGGAGGAGGAGGAGGGGCCCGCCGGCCTGCCGGCTCCCCGCGCGGCCGCTCGCCATGGAGGCGGCGGCGTGCCCGCGCGCCGCGCGCCCGCCCCGGGGCTGGCCGCTCCCCCGGCGGCCTGGGGCCCGGAGCCGCCTCTCGGGCCGAAGGAAAGGGGGGGTAGGCTTCGGGTTGACCCAAGAGGGGGTCCAGCGACAAAGGGGTGGTGCAGTAGATTTGGTGCGATAGATTTGTGGGGTTGCAGTACATTTGGGCCGTGTCATACATTCCGGGGCGCAGATGTATTGCTGGATTTTCGCGTGCAATGCATTATTTGCAATACAATGCAATACAATTCTCTGGCGCAGTACATGTGCAATACAATTGCCCCAAATCTATTGCACCACCCTCTTTCAGCTGGACCCCCTTTTGGGTCTTCCGGGAAGGTGGGGTTCCGAAATCTGCTGCATGCAGCTGGCCAACGGCCCCACCGTGAGGCCCCTTCCTCGATGCATGGCCGCCTCCGGCGCCGGGCGGCGCCGAGAAAATCAGCTGCGTGAGCCGATTCTCAAAATCCCCTCTGTGCTATGCTTAAGTCGGGACTGTCCTTCTACAGGGGGCATATTCAAAAATAGTAAAAAAATAGTCAGGTGACTATTTTTTGATAATTTTTTGGCCATTTGGAGTATTTTTTGTATTTTTCATTTTTCGTCGAAAATCCCCCTGTCAGTGGACACGCCCGACTTAATGCTATTCCCCCCTTTCGCCCGGCCCGAGCCTCTGCCGGCGCGGGCCCCGCTCGCCCGCCGCCGCCGCCGGCGCGGCCGGCCGGCCGCCGGCGGCGCTGCTGGTGGCGGCCTCGGCGGCGGCCGCGCAGTGGGTGCTTGGCTTCCCCAGACCCCCGTCGGCGCCGTGCGAGCGGCACTCCGAGGAGGAAGAGGTGCCCATGCCGCTACGGCGTAGCTACGGTACATCGACAAAATGTTGCACCACCTGGCGCTGACAATGAATCGCATCGCTGTTATATAAATCGTTTGTTTCCCCCCCCCCACTCCCCCCGATCTTAACATTGGGTTCGGTCCGGGCTGGTCGAAACAGCTCGGTGGTGCAACATTTTGTCGGGAGCCCCCGGGCGGAACAGGGGCTCTTCGCCATGCACCCAATATTAAGATCGGGGGGAGGGGGGGGCAAGAGCAAAGCAGTACGGGTGCCAATGCACAGCAAAAGTGGTGCAACATTCTGTCGATGTGCGGTGCCCTTTCCCTGGTCATTCCCCTCCTTGGGCCTCCCGGGATGATCTCGTCGCCACCGCTGGACTCGCCTCGAAGTCCTGGCCAGAGCGCGCCCCGGGAGAGGTTCGGGGCGCAGCGGCATCGGTGCTTTTAGGTTTCCCCAGTCACGCCGGGCAGGTTTGGGCCGTCTTCGGGCGCTACGGCCTTCCTCGAAGTCGAAGGCAAGTTATTCTGTAGGGCCGGTCGACGCGCGAAGCGCGTTTCCCGCGGGGGCCATTTCTTTGTTTGCTTGCAGTCGCCAGTCTCGGCGCGAAATTGAAGTTTTGGGGTTGTGGGGCGCCACCACGTCGCGGGAAAAACTTGCGTTGAAAAATTTGGGATAATTGCGATTTTTTTGAGAGGGCGCGTAGCAAGCGCTCGAGAGGAGTGGGGGAAGGCAAGGAGTGGGACGAGTAGGCAACCACATACAAACCCTACCACTGCATGTCAGATTTCCGAAACGCTAATTAGCCGGGTGCGTTCCGATATCCTGGCGTCGAGCTGACCCGCAGGGTTAGGGCTCGCAAGTGGGGCCATCATCGGGCCCCTGGCGGCTGTCAGAAGCAGGCTCGGGATGGGAAAGCCGGTTTAAATACAGGCCTCCCAAGAGGGGCCCGAGTAGATGGGGTCGGTGATCGCGCCGCATCGCTGATGCGTCGGCGATGTGGCTCGATGCGGAGCCCGATTTTCTCCAGCCTGACGTTGACGTCGCCGATGCGATGCGCCGCGATCGTCCGTACCCATCTGCTCGGACCCCATCTGGGAGGCCTCGAGGTGAGACGGTCGCGCCTGTCAGGTTTTCGGCGGGCTTCGGCAGCTTGGGTGCCCTCGCCAGGGCCTGGTAGGCTCAGGCTGGAAAAATGCCCGTCCCGGTGGGGGGGTCCAGACCCATGGGGGTCCGAGTTGCGTCGGGGGCCCCTAAAAGATGGGGTGACCACTTCGTGTGGTGACTCCATGGGGGTTCGGGGCCATCCCGCGGTTTCTGGACGCGGACCGCTCTCCGGGGGGGAGGCCGTGCGGCGACGGACCGCGTGGTGAGGCCGTCGGGGATTCCGAGGTCTCACCACGCGGTCCGTCACCTCACGGTTTTGAGGCCCTGGAGCTGTGGCAGAAGGCACGACGTCGGGGGTCTGGGTCTTCAGCATCGCTCCGCGCGGTGCGCGGCCAGGGCGCAGGGCATGGCCCAGCCGGAGGACCGCGCTCCACTGCAGCGGCGACGTCGTCAAGCCAGACTTGGATCAGCGTCAGTACAGGTACGTGACTCTGCCCAACGGGCTGAGAGTGCTGCTGGCCTCGGACCCAGACAGCGATGCAGCGGCCGCGTCGATGAGCATCAGGGCAGGGAGTTTCGACGATCCTCCAGAATTCCTGGGCTTGGCCCACTTCCACGAGCACATGCTCTTCCTGGGCACACAGAAGTACCCAGACGAGGACGAGTACGAGAAGTGCCTCAAGGACCACGGTGGCCACAGCAACGCGTACACCGACGACGAGCTCACGAACTACTACTTCCGGGTCAACGCGCCCCACCTCCAGGGCGCGCTGGACAGGTTCGCGCAGTTCTTCATCTCGCCCCTCCTCTCGCCGGGGGCACTGGACCGAGAGATGCGCGCCGTGGACTCCGAGAGCACCGGGTACGCGTCCGAGGAGGAGTGGCGCAGAGCCCAGGTGATGAAGGCCACCGCCGCAGACCACCATCCCTTCCAGCGCTTCAGCGTGGGCGACCTGACCACGCTCGGGCACTCCGGCCCAGAGGCCGTCAGGGAGGCCATGGTGGCGTGGAACGCGGCGTATTATCACACCGGCGCGATGAGGCTGGTCGTTGCCGGAAGCGATCCGTTGGACACGCTGGAGGATGCGGTGAGCAAGTTTTTCGGCCCGGTTCCGAGTGGCCCAGAGCGGAGCTGGGCGGAGGACAGAGGGCCTCCATGGGGCGAGGAGCAGGTGGGGCGCTACGTCGAGGTAGTTCCCAACCGGGAGGAGCGCAGCCTCTCAATCAACTGGCCACTGCCACCAGAGCGGCTGTACCTGTACAACAAGTTGGACGTCTACTTGGGCCACGTGCTCGGCCACGAGGGCGAAGGTTCTCTGTACGACATGCTCAACCAGGATGGGCTCGTCGAGCACCTCATCTGCGGCTCGGGCTACTCCTTCTCCGATGCGCAGCTCTTCAGCCTGGAGATATCTCTCACCGAGGAGGGGGACCGCCGCTCGGAGGAGGTCCTCCAGCGCGCATTCGCCTTCGTGGCTCTGATGCGCGAGGCGGGGCCGCAGCGCGATACTTTTGAGGAGCTGCGCAGCCTCAGCGAGATCGGCTTCCGCTTCCAGGAGGAGAACCCGTCCACTGAGGACTTCGTGGCTGAGGCGAGCAACAACCTCTTCTACTACCCCGTCCGGGACGTGCTCCGCGGCCCATCTGCGTTCGACGAGTGGCGCCCGGACCTCGTCCAGGAGTGGTTAGACCGCCTCACGCCGGAGAACTGCATCATCTTCCACGCGAGCTCCGACTTCCAGCGGGAGGCGGCGGCGGCGGCGGCCGCGGCGCCCGCGCCCGGCGACGCCGGCAGCGCGGCGCCCTGGGGGCGCGAGCGCTGGTACGGCGCGCAGTTCCGCGCCCGGGCGCTCGGGGCCGAGGAGCTCGGCAGGCTGTCGCGGCCGCCCGCCGCGGCCCGCGAGGGCCTGCGGCTGCCGGCCGGGAACCCCTTCGTGCCGCGGGACTTCTCGCTGCGCAGCGGGGCCCGGCGCGAGGCGCCCGCCTCTGCGTTGGAAGTGGCGCCGCCCGCCAGGCGCGGTGGGCTTGTCTTCTACCGCCACCACCATAAGTAGGAGGGGGCGAGGGGGTCCTCCTCCTCCTCCTCTTCCTCCTCCTCATCCTCCACCTCCTTCCCCCATCCAACTTCTGGTGGTGGTGGTGGTGGAAAACAGGCCCAGCAAGGCGCGACGTGCCCGGCGAGGCGGCGCCGCGCCTGTGGTGGAAGATGGACAGCGCGTTCGGAGCCCCGCGGGCGTACGTCTACGCCCACGTCATGACGCCCGTGTACGAGATGGGCCCGGAGGCGGTGGCCGCGCTCCGCCTCTTCTGCGCCCTGCTGAGGGACGACCTGAGCACCTTCGCGTACGACGCCGAGGAGGCGGGCCTGTCGTACCAGGTGGAGTTCACCGACCGCTTCACGCTGGAGGTGGGTGGCTTCAGCGACAAGCTCCCCTTGCTGCTGCGGCGCGTGGCCGAACGCGTCCCGTCCCTGCTTGACGAGCTGCGCGCGGCCGCCGAGGAGGAGGAGGAGGAGGAGGAGGAGGAGGAGGAGGAGGAGGAGGAGGAGGCGGAGGAGGAGGTCGAGGGCGGCGGCGACACCGAGGACGACAGCGGGGACGAGAGCGGGGAGGACAGCGAGGGTGGGCTCGCCTACTGGAGCGAGCGACTCGAGGTGCAGCGCGAGGTGCTCCTGCGGGAGCACGACAACTACTTCAAGCAGGACCCCGCCCAGGTGGCGGAGTACCACGTCCGCCAGCTGGAGCTGGCCGGCATCTGGCACCTGTCGGAGTACTCCGCCTGGCTCCGCGGCGCAGGAGGCGCGGGCGCCTCGGGCAGCCTGCTCCGCCCGATGGTCCGGCTGGTCGACGCCGCGCTGCGCAGGGCGAGGGTGGACGTGCTCGCGCACGGCAACGTCAACGAGGGCGAGGCGCTCGAGGCGGCCCAGACGCTCCAGGGCACCCTCGCCGGCCCGTCGGCGCTGCGCGACGAGGAGCTCCCCACGATGGACGTGGTGCTGCTCCCGGCCGGCCCCGGGCACGCGGTGGCCGTCGAGTTCGACCTGCTGGAGGCGAACCCGATCGAGGAGAACAGCGCCGCGTACGCGGTTCTGCAGGTCGGGCCCCTCGGGGAGGACCCGCACCGCGACGCCTGCCTGGAGGTGGTGGCGCACCTGGCCTCCAACTCGGCGTTCGCGCAGCTGCGCACGAAGGAGCAGCTGGGGTACGTCGTCTACGCGACGCGCCGCACGCAGTACGACGTGGCCTCGCTGGCGGTGGTCGTACAGGGCGCCACGCTGGGCCCCCGAGGGATGGACGCGAGGGTCGAAGCCTGGCTGACTTCGTTCAGGGAGGAGCTCGCTGGCCTCAGCGAGGAGGACTTCGCCACCAACCTGCAGGGGGTGATAGACCTGAAGAGCAAGCGCCACACGCAGCTGGGCCAGGAGGTGGCCGCCCAGTGGCAGGAGATCCTGCAGCGCACCTGCCGCTTCGACCGGCGGCGCGCCGAGGTGGCGGCGCTGCGAGCCGTCTCCCGCGCGGACCTGCTGGCCTTCTTCGACCGGCACCTGGCGGCCAGCGCCCCGCTGCGTCGGAAGCTGTCCTCCTGGGTGCAGGGCGCGGCCAACCGCGGCGCGGGCGCGGGCCCCGAGGGCCCGCCGCCCCCGCGGCACCTCCTCAGGACCATCGACGAGTGGCGGGCGTTCAAGAACGGCCTGCCGACGCACAGCGTCGGCTGACCGCGCGAGGGGCGGAGGGACCGCCGCGGCGGCGTGCGGGGATCCCAAATCGAAGGAGAAGAACCGGCATGAGCAGAATCCTGTGGCGCTCCGCGCGGATCTCCCCCCCCCCCGGTAGCGCTCCGCGCGGACCCGCGCTGGATCTCCCCCCCCCCTGGTGGCGCCTCCGGTGCCGCCCCCGGCGCGCTCCGCGCGCCAGGACGGGGGGTCCCAGCGCCGATCCGAGAAGTCCGCGCGGAGCGCCGAGAGTTTGTGCTCATGCCGTTCATCTCTCCTTCCTCCACCAGAGGGCATGCCGGTACCGCTGCTCCCTGGACCCGCGCCGCCATCCGCGTGCACGGGGGCCGCAATGGTGGTACCGCATGGGGTGCTGCTGCCTGGGCCTCAGGGCTG